AAAGAGAGTGAAATGTGAGAATCAAAGTCAAAGAAGCAGGAGAAATCGAAAAAACAAAAAAACGAAAATGAAAATGAAGAAGAGGATTGTGAACAACCTCTGAGATAGAGGCCTTCGGAGGAGGAAAGAGGAACCTCCATGAAATGAGGGTGTTGGAGGTGGCCATTTCGGGAGAGATAGTAAACGACGGGAACCTTTCTATCGGAGCGGAGCTTGGGTTCAGTCCAGACCTTGGTGCGCTCAGGGCTGGTGGCGTCTCTGTCCTTCCATAGCCTGGGGATTTGAAGGTCAGTGAGCCTGTCTCTGGAAGCGACCGCCATTGTTGAGGAGAGGGAAGGAGAATGGAGAAGAAGAAGGGGAAGGATTTTGAGTTTTATAGAGAGAGTTAAAGAGGGAAGGAGGGAGAGATCCGACGGACAAACAGCTACGTAACAAAACACGGCCGTTTTGATTTCAGGACTTATTTTCTTTTTCTTTTTTCAAAAATTAAATTTATCATTATTATTTATTTTTAAATAAATTATTTTTATAACACAATGTAAAAACAATATTAAAAAATATTTTCTTTTTTTTTTTTTTTTATTTTAAGGTTCATGTGATCAGATAACCCGACCAATTCAAACTAAGATTGAGTTAGGTTGGGTTAGATTATTATTATTTTTTTTTTTGTTAATTTAGATTGGGTTAAATTTTTACAATCTCAATCGGTTCATGGGTTGACTTTTCTATTGGGTCAATCCAACCGGCCTGAATATTGAGTCAACCCAGCCAGCTTAAATCTAGATTAAAAATATTTGACATTTGTAATGGATAGAACGGAGGTACAAAGGTTTAATATTTGAGTTTTATAAGATCTTATTTATTAATGTAATAAATATGATTTTTTTAAAATAAGAATAATAAGAATTAGAATAGCTTGACATCCCAACTCAAAAAGTTGGATTACATTGCAAAGTCTGTGTTAGTTGCTCGGGTTACCAACTTGATTAATCCGGTCCAAATAATTTCTCAATTCATGTCCATTCTTAGAAAATTTATTAGACAGAAAAATAAAAATTTAGTAACTTTCTTAATATTTTTAAATATCATTGATCGTGACAACGTAACACGATCCAACTAATCCAGACGTGTCAAGTTGTTCGAGTCACGAACTTGACAACCCAGTCTAGAAAATTGTGTTGAATTGTGGATTCTATTGTAGTTGCTCGGGTCACCAACTCGACCAATCCTAACTCAAATGATTTGTCCATTCCAACTCTGGTATACACGTCTAATAAATTTATTCAACACAAAATTAAAAATTTAGTCCGAACTTATATGACACGTGGGTGAAATGAGAAGGGTAAATTAGTAATTTAGCTAAAATGAAATCTGATTTTCAAAGCACCGACCTTCTCCTCCTCACGTGCCACACTCTCTCTCTCTCTCTCATATATATATATATATATATATAATTTAATATTTAAATGGTCAGTTATGTTTTGGTTTTAGCATAAGGTTACGATGGATCCCGTGAAATAGATTGGAGAACGGATATAAATGGGAAAATATTAACGGAAAAAACAAGATTCGGATATACTATTTTTAAATTCTTTTTTTAAATAATTAAAATTCAGATTACAAAATTATTTTTTTAATTTCTCTTCCTATTTTTCACACTAAATAAATTATTATTTTTTTCACCTCCTTAGTTGTCAATTAGTGGATACCCATGTATATAAAATAATAATATTTAATACGAGACCTGTCGTGTGATACCCAAGTAAAAGAGGAGTAAATGAATGATTCAAGATCACGTCCCAGTGAGAAACACTTAAAAGCTATACCAAACAAGATGCGTCTTTCTTTTCGGTAGCTTAATCATAAAAACTTTAAAATTAAGCTGTTTTGCTTCGAGCAATTATGTGTTAGGTAGGTGACGTATTGGAAATTTTTCCAAGATGCATGTAAGTGAGGACAAAACAGGCTGAACTGACTTGCGTTGGTTTGTGGGGATAGTCTTCACTCTTAAAAAGCGAAAAGTAAGTAACGTGATCATGTTGCAAGGAAATTTCAAGGCCAACAAGTGTTGAATTTAGGATTTTGTATCCTGGGTATGGGCGTTACACGTCAATAAGCTAAGTACGACATAAAGGAAGGTGACGAAATCACCCGAGTATCCTAATTTTTTTTTTTATACATCTCAACTTCATTCCTTGGAGAGAGAAAAGTAGCACCGAAGATAGGAAATAACGAGATACGTTCATTTTCATTAAGGTTAGTAGTCGAACATCGTTACCATAGTTATCATTATCCCGAACATATATTATTGGAAGGCATGCATGACTTAACACATGTTGTTGTGACACTCGGAGATATACATGAATGAAGCGAGAACTACATTCAAATGAGAATAATCTTAAGATAAGATGACTAAGAAAGACTTAAAAGAATTGAAAGTTACTATCTATACCAACAAAGTATACGTTCATTTTCATTAGTTTAATCATAAAAAACTTCAAAGTTAAGCGTGTTTTACTTAGAGCTATGAGTGAGCAAAGACAAGTCATACTGAAATGACTTGTGTTGGTCAGTGAGAATAGTTGTCCCTCTTAGAAGCAATGAGTAAGTAATATGACTATGTTGTAATGGACGTAGGAAAATGTTGGAGCCGTCACGGTCTGGTTCGTCTTTCGTCCATGTATCATAGACAACTTTTATCTTGTGTTTTAGGACAGTTTCGAAAAGCTACTTTCTCTTTCTAATATCTTAATATTTCCGTACAACTCTAATTTGAACGGACGGAATATGAAATTAAAATTTCGAAATTTGAACGTGAGACGACGATGAATATTTATCGACAATGTTGTAGAAATGTGTGTGGAAAAGGGAACTAAAAGTCTTATTGTTTTTTTTTTTTTTAAATCTAATATAGTTGAAAAAAAAAAGAAGGTGAGTTGACTAAACGGTCGTTTAATATTTGCCGTACCAAACTTTGACTAAAACAGCTAATATAGTAATCAATCATTATCATAGCCTTTAAAACCCGGTTTTCTGATCTGACAAACGTTGTACTATTCGTGGGCCCCTACTAGACACGTGGCAAGATAAATCCGACATTTTCAATTATTTTATTTTATTTTCTCAAATTGGGCGTTGAAAATTGGATTGAATTCACACGTGGGAGGTGTACGTGGCAATGGGAAACGACGTCGAATTAGCCACCAAGTAAGACTATTTGAGGCGCAGATAAAAACTATGTCCCTATTTTTTTTTTTTTTTTTTTTTTTTTTTTTTTTTTTTTTTTTTTTTTTTTTT